TTGAGTCACCCCTGGTGAGTGAGACATGGAGTGGACTCTAGACCCCAGCCCTGTGGTTCCCAAAACCAGGCTGACTCATTCACATTGTGTTCCTCTGGAATCTGCTTGCCTTGGTCCATTTAATGTTGCGACGAGCAAGGACCATACCATTGTTCATCAGGCCCAGGTGGAGATTCAAACAGCATTCAGTGGAGCAGGTTCTGATGCAAGGGTAGCAGCTGGGTTGTCTGGTCAAGTGCAGGAGGCAGGTGCAGCCGAGTGCTGCCATTCAGCCCTGGGACAGGGTGCAATGCTCAATACCAGTTATTCAAGAGGTACCAGGAATGGGCAACTCTGTTCTGCCCTTAAGAGGTTTGTTTTACTCAGGGATCAATAACTGTTCCAGGTGAAGTGATTTAGGAATAATTGCAAAGCAACCGATTGGCAAAATAGGAAAATCTCAAAATACTTCTTCATGTTACTCCCTAACTCAATTTACAATAGTTCCCCACTTCGCACCCCAGCAAGCCTGGATTCCTTTGTCTGTCCAGTTTCCCTAATATGGCCTGACCCTTTATCTCCAGCCTCTTTTCCCAGGATTGCCAGCATATCTCCTCTGTCCAGATAGGCCTGGGAGCTATCTCTGTCTTCCTGCCATCCCTCACCCCACATACGAAGCTCTTTCTTAACTACACCTTGGATCAGATCATTCCCACTACCTACAATGTCCTGCTTCTTGCCCTGTATGTGGCATCCTTCAGGATCCAGATCAGTCTCTGCCCTTCCCTGAAGCCCCTGATCCCTGCAGTCCATCCCAATCTCCCCTGTTCTCTTTATTAATCACACAGCTTACCATGCATTACTGCAGTCCATAGCATGAGCAACACCCCACACCTAGACTGTAGGCTCCTAGGTGTTAGGGCCCATGTCTCTTACTTCTCTAGGTCTGTTAGTAGTTGGCACAGTACTATGCACACATCAGGTGTCTGAGGCACACATCAGGTGTCTGAGAAACACTTAGAGACCAGTGAATAAGGGGCTAAGGGGATAGAAAAGGGGTAGCCTGTACCAGATGGCCTTATTGAGGAAGGCTTCCAGGGGGAGGTGGGTTCTAGGCAAGGTTTTGAGCTAAAGGATGGTGACTATGCTAGTGCCCTCTGATGCTAGGTCCAATAAACTTTTTCTATAAAGCAGCAGATAGTAAATACTTTAGGCTTTCCTGGACATACTGTATTTATGGCAACTACTCAACCCTGCTGTCACAGTGCAAAAGGAGCCACAGACAATACCTGAATTAGTGAGCACCGCTGTGTCCCCTTAAAACCTTATTTACAAAAACAGGCAATGGGCCGATTTGGCCTATAGGCCATAGCTTGTTGACCCTGCTCCAAAAGTTTTTTATTTTGCCAAAGCTAAAGCCCACTCTTACCTGCCCAGGGGGACAGAGAACCCCTGCTTGTAGCCCTTTCCTGCTGTGGGCTGCCTTTCCTCTGCACACTCTACCCAGCTCTCACATGGACCTGCAGGCACCCTGCCCACCCCCTGGCTGAGTGTCCATAGCCACCCAGTAGCCAGGTGTCCCCCTCTTACATCCACAGGATTGATGGGAACACAGCCCTCCACCGGGACATCTACCCATCAGTCAGCCTCCAGATCCAGAAGAACTTTGCTAAGAGCAAGTGGAGGGTAAGCTGTCCTCTCCGGGGGGGTGGGAAAGCTGTTCTGGGCCCCTGGAGGCTGGGCTGGCAGGAGCTGACATAAGGGCTTTCCTTGGGATGTCCCAGAAGGCACTGGAGCTCCCTGTACCCTCTCTGAAATGAGAAGTGGGCACCCAGGTTTCAAGAGGCCACAAGGCAAAGGGAAAGTTTAAGCCCCGAGGCCCTCTGAGGTTGCAGAAGGCCAGAGGCTGCTCTTGTGTCTCCTTAGCAAGCCTTCAACGCAGCAGCTGTGGTGCACCACATGAGGAAGCTACACATGAACCTGCACAGCCCGGGCATCCGCCCAGAGGTGGAGAACAGGCCGCCTGAAACTCAAGCCTCAGAAACCTCTAGACCCAGCTCCCCTGAGATCACCATCACTGAGGCACCAGTCCTGGACCAGAGCGTAGCACTCCCTGCTCTGACCCAATTACCCTGCCAGCATGGCCGCCGGCCCACTGCCCCTGGTGGCAGGTCCTTCAACTGCCTGGTCAACGGCTCCCTCCGCATCAGCAGCAGCCTGGTGCCCATGCATCAGGGATCCCTGGCCGCCGGGCCCTGTGGCTGCTGCTCCAGCTGCCTGAACATTGGGAGCAAAGGAAAATCCTCCTACTGCTCTGAGCCCACACTCATCAAAAAGGCCAACAAAAAACAGTATGTATTTTTAGCCAAAGATGGAGCCCCAGCTTGGGTCTGAAAGAAATCGGCCAACAGGACTGAAAGAAATGGACACAAAGGCCTCTCCCACTCGCAGGCAGCTCTACAGGGAGGGATGAGTTCTGGATCAGGGGGCGGGGAAAACGCTTCTAGCCCTGTCCCCATCACTTACTAGCTATGAGGCCATTGACGAGTCAGTGAATGTCTCTGCTTCTAGTTTGCTCATCTGTAAAATGGGTTGACATCTATTTATCTACTCAGCCTGCCTCACAGAGGTGCTATTAAAGGTTAGTGAAGCAATAGAGATGATAAAAGCTTACAGAAAACTGGGTATGTGCAAGTGGTGAGCATCAGATTCCCTGAGTTTCTAGGGCCTCTGTGCTTTGGAGGAGAAAGGTTAGGGGGGCTTGGTTATCTTTATCTTTTCTGCAGGGTCTTGAACTTTCTGAACCTCATGAGGGGAGAGCTGAGTGGATGCCACAGGCACAGAGAACTACCACCTCTGCCCTGCCCCATCAACTCTTCTTCTCCCCTCAAATACTTCAAAGGTTGTTGCTTCATTTCCTTTCTAGGAACTTCAAATCGGAGGTCATGGTACCAGTTAAAGCCAGCGGCAGCTCCCACTGCCGGGCAGGGCAGACTGGAGTCTGTCTCATTATGTGATTCCTGGAGTCTGTGCCTGTGTCATTGCAATTTTCAGGTGAGGAGGGTCACAGTGTGAGGCTTGGGGAGAGTTTCTGTCCCAGAGGAGAGCCCCATACCAGAGTGTGAGTGATGGGGTCTGAAGTGGCAGCCCCGCCCTTACTCTGAGCCCCTTTCTCTTGCAGGAGACATGTTCAACTCCTCTGCTCTTCCAAACCTGGTGTCTATCCAGCAGAGGGAGGAAGGCAGAGCAAGTAGAGCAGGGCCTAGCAGGAGCGGTTTCTGGCCGGAAGCACCAGCCTGCTGCCAGCAGGGCAGCCCCTCACAGGAGGCCCGCAAGGGAGCCCCAAGGCATGAAGCCTTGTTGAAGCTGTGAGCAGGAGGAGCAGCGCCTGTGGGCTTCCAGGTCTCCCTGACCTGCCTGCTCTATGCCCCCACACCCTACGTGCCATGGTTCTGTGCAGTGTACGTAGATAGCTCTCGCCTGGGTCTGTACTGTTTGTCGTGAAAAGCTTAATGGGCTGGCCAGGCTGTGTCACCTCCAAGCAAAGCCATATGGAGCATCTACCCAGATACCCACTCTGCACACACTCACTCCCACCTCTCAAGCCTTCAACCTTTTGGCCAGATTGGGCTCATTAATGCTGTTGCCTGCCCATCTGCATGAATGACAGGCAGCTGTCCACGGTGGTCTGCCTGTGAGCTCTTCAAGTTCTAATCCTTAACTCTAGGATTAGCTCCCAAGCGCGCTGAGACCCAGCCAGCCTGCTCCTGGCACAATTCTGGCCCCTCTCCCTGCCTCAATCTAAAAGCAGTGCCACACCCTCCAAAGTGGAATGGAAAGAAATTCATGAGTAAGGGCTGCAAGGAATTCTTATCCCGGCCACATGCCCTCCGCGCACACACCCAATTGAGTTAACCTTGGAAGTTGACTATTTTAATGTCTGCCAGGAGTTCTAATCCTGCTTCTGTTCCCTTTTCTCTCCTTGAAAGTCCAGCATACCGTTCTTGTCCTTCCCCAGTCTTCTCACCCTCCGCCCCTCCAGCTTCACGCTCAGTGTTGTGCTCAATAAAATGGACATATTTTTCTCTATGATGCTTCATTTGGTTCTTTCAAAGTCAGGAGCAGTTCAGGGACTTCTGAGCATGTCTGGAATAGAGAGTGCATGGATGGCTGGGGTCAGTAAGGAACCAGCAGTTGTAGCTGATGTGCATACAGATGTGCATACAGCAGAGTATACAGTGCTCCAGGAACCTAGGGACATGAGTTACACCATTAACTCATTACTCATCACAGCAACCCCTTGGGGCAAGTTCTGTTGGAACCCAGGCAGTCTGGCTTTAGTGGCCATTCTCTGAATGGCCGTATCAGATGAGCATGAGTTCGAGCCCCAGCTCTGTCCCGAACTGCCATATATGTGACCTTGGGGAAGTTACTTAGCCTTTTGTGCCTTGGTTTCCTCACTTATCCAATGGGAATAGTAGCACCGCCTGCATCATGAAATGATGCAGATGATGTGCCCAGCCTCGTGACCAATAAATAATTAAAATGATTAACAATGATCAAGAAATTAATGTAGATAAAATGTCTAGCACAGTGTCTGCTTGGGCCATGGTTAACACACAAATGTCCATGCCATTCCATATCATCCTCCACCCCACCCCCCTCACATATCCATTTACTTCTCTTTAAGACCCCAAGAGACACAGATTCTAGTCTTAGTCTTTCCTCTGGAATCTGCATGAATTTGAACAGAACCTTCCCTTCCCTGGATTTCTATTTCCCCATCTGTAAACAAGAAGTTGAATCACTGCTTAGAGATGAAAACTGCTTGTCTGGTTTCTCAAGGGTAGAATCCATCAGGTTCTGGGGCACAGGGGCCCAGACTCCCTAAATCTGGTTATCTAGCAAGCCAGGTGGAACAGAGGAGAGCAAACCATGGGCTTGAACAGAGGAGTCCCCCACAAACCCCAAATAGGAGACAGAAACAGTGGCAAGAGTTTACCCAGTGAGGGGACAGACCATTTTTCCTTGTTGAACCTCTAGGCTCTTTTCCAAAGATTTTTATTTGGCTTTTCATTTTTATATCACTTTTGTTAAGTTTTTGTGTTTGGTCCAGGATTCTTCCCCAGTGGAGAACTAAAGGCAGGGGATACTGCCCAGCCCAGCTTCCTTGACTTGAGAGCTCCTAGTTTCAATGGCATGCCAATCTCCACCATCTCTGTCTGTCAAGTGTAACTGTCCCACTGACTCAGGCTCAGCTGCAGCTCAGGGTAATCTTACTAGCTGCACACCAGGGGTGGTCCAGGCTGTGCTTTGGCTGCATGAAAGACTCCTGGAGATGGAAAGCATTCCAACCCAATCTGCCCCCAACTAAAAGCAAAGGGGGCAGATGAGTAGGGAAAGGGGCTGGAAGCTGTAGCATCACTTGCAGGTGGCATAGTAGAGTACACGCTCATTGATGTGGTCACGAATCTGCTCCACACGCTTCTCCAGTCCTGTCAGGTCCGCCGAGCGCAGCATGATGGCCTGGCTGCCCCGCAGCAGCTCCAACTCCATGTCTGAGGCAAATGGAACAGCAGCAGGAGGAGGAGTTGATAGTGAGACTCCCAAAGACTCCCAACCCTTCCTTCCCCTCCTGCTAACTGGAAGTAGCATGTGCAGAGGAAGCCCCGCCAAAAAAATCTGGCCTGTAAGGCAGTGGTGCCCCCCCATCTTCATGCCTCCCTAGCCCCTATTCCATGCTTAGAAATCCGGCAAGGGCCAAACCCAGCAGGCCCCCACTCCTAACTATTACTGGGCCCCTGACCCTCTGGGCTCTCACAGTTGTCCCAGGCTAATGAAGGAGGTCACAGACACCAAGATTAGCAACCCAGTGCTGTTGGGCTCAGACAGCTGCCATCCAACTAATGGTCCTCAAGTAGGCACCTTGACAAAAGAGCTGGATGAGTGACCAGAATTCCTCCTCAATTTCCCTCCCCAAATGCCACTCCAGATAAATCTAGCCCTCCTCTTCCAATTCATTCTGCATACAACCACCAGATGATGCATAGAGGTTTGAAGAACTCTGGAAGTGACTCAGTCCAGCCTGTCCTGTCCCTCTAGGCAGGAGTCCCTCTATCACATCCATGAGAGCTGGTACCCAGGCTCAGCCTGAACTTTTCCAGGAAAAGGAAGAAAGCAGGCACTGCCTCATGAGGCTCCAATCTTAGGCAGCTCTGGTTATGAAAAAAGTCATCTTCCCATGAAGCCAAAATCTGACTGCCTCTTACTTCCACCTCTTGTCCCAGGTCTGTGTCCTGGGGGTATAAGAATATACCTTCTCTGTTCTCACATGTCAATCCTTCACATATCTGAGGCTTTATTGTCTCCAGGTTAAATATCTCCAGTTTCTTCACCTATTCCTCATCTGATATAATTGCTGTGTCCCACCCTGGTCACTCTCTCCTTGATGTATGCTGGTTTGTCAATATCCCTTCTGAAGATGTAGCAGCCATCACTTGAACACCATCCCCCGGGTGAGATCCCATCAGCAGAGTATAACAGTGTTATTATTGGATTGACATTCAGCCAGTAGATACTCATATGGATTCACAGGTTGATAAAATATTTAAATATGTCCATAGCAGTTGTTAAATAGCTGCCATTCTGTTCCTTGGTACTCACCCCCAAGACCCACCTCCCACCCCTGGTCAATGCATGATCTTCCCCCATTATCCTGCAACTAAAGGTAAATTCCTGCAAGCAGGTACCTTCCGGTTCCAATACTGTAGCCTAAGCCTTTTCTGGTTAGTGGGTACACACCACTCCAGTTGCTAAATAGTCTTACCATTACCCCAAGCTATTACTCTCTTCACTTTGGTTGCATTGTGTTTGTTAGCTCTTTGGGCAGCAGTAAGCATTGCTGGCTTATAACAAGCTTGCGGTAACTCAAAACTCTTGGGTCTTTTTCAGGTGAGTAACAACTCATATTTGCTTATCACTTATTAGTTATAAAGTGGTGGCAGTGGCATTAGCTACTGAAAAGCCAGGCTTCACCTGAGCTGTACTTGTGGTTTAAGCCCAAACAAGGCCAGAGCAGGAGGTTAGTTTTCTCTTTATTTAATTTCATTTGTTAGTTTCAGCCCATCTTTCTGAACTTTTGCTATTGCCTTAGAATACTGGTTCTGTTACCTGGTATCTCTGTTGTCCAGAGACTTGATAAATTATTTATCTTCATACAAAGTATTGGATGAACAGGACAAGGAAAAGCACTGACTTAGCCGCTGGCCCCTTCCCCTAGGTCAGCTCCTCTCACTTCATCCTTTGGGTGCAGCTGCCCATGGCCCCAGGTTTATTCATTGTCTACCCACCAGCCCAACCTTTTATGTGGTGCCCACCTGGCTATCCAACGAGACTTCTGCCAAACACTTCTGCTGAAATTCGAAGGAACTCTTTCTGTGGCTTTCACTGGATACACCACTCCAGTGATCCCATCATCATGTCTTAGCGATGACTCTAGTTCCCAGGAGCCCCTGTTCTCCTTTCTGAGAAATCTTCGGAACCCTTCCGGAAGCTACTTTCATTATGTTTCCATCATATTCAAAACCCTTGGATGTGCCCTACTGCCTCCTGAGCTATCTACCCTCCTCATCCTCACACTAGAAGCCAGGCACAGGGACAAGTCATGTTAACCCCATGCCACTTCTTTCCCACCAGCTCCTCAGCAACCTTCTTCTCCTGTCCCTATGTCAGAACATACCTTGTTGCTTCCCAACACCCTTATCCTAATGTCCCTCCTCTTCCTCACAGCTTCTCCCAGGCCTATACATTCTTCCAGGCCCATCTCAAATCTTCTTTTTTTACCTTCACTGAACATGTCTCAGTCAAATTATTTACGCTCTGAGCCCCAGAACTCTTATTATTCAACCCCTATCAGAGACCACCTCATCCTGTTAAATATAGTTCTATGCATCTTAAACATAAAGCAATAGGAAGAGAAAATATGACCCCACTGTTTGCAAAAATAGAAAAAATGGTCCCATTAGTTGCGAGCTTTTTGAGGCCAGGTCAAGTCATGGAACCATCTCTGCATTCCCCAGCCTCATACATACTAGACGCCCAGAAAAAATCTCATTTGATCTCACTCCCATAGCACGGCTAGCTCCAATAAGAATGGGCTTCAGAAGCCTTGGGTTGGGTGGGACCAGCCTTCATGAATGCCCAGTAGTCCGTGCCCCTGAACCATTCCCTCACCTTTCATCCTGTCCATCATCTCCATGGTCTCCCCAAATAGCTCCTCTGCCTCTGTCTTCACACTCTGGATCCGGGCACCCTGTTCACCCAGCGTGGGACTCTGACCCAACCGGTCCTTCAACTCAGCATACTTTTGTTTTATTCTCTCAAATCCCTGAAAAAGGTAGAATAGTCTCAGTGTCATTGTCATCATGCAAGGTCCTAAAGACCTGTGGCCAAAGCACTTGATGTCACCCAAATCAACACACAGTGGGAAAGCGCCTCCTATTAACCCCCAATAGAATTGGTTTTGCCTATTAAAACGCCTGAGTCACAGACTATGACTTAAACTTCTGTGTTTCCCTCTTCCCATCTCCAGCTCTTGACATGTCCCACCTCACTCCCAGGACAATGTTAGTAACATCACAGGATATTGATATTAAGCTGTCACATAGTATACTTAGCAACTTGGTCACTGTGCCAGGATTGAAAGTGCCAGTGTTCCTAGCCATAGGGGGAGCAGGTAGTGTGTGTGAGACACTGAGAATGGGCTCTTTGATCTTCTCTCTCATCTAATTCTGACAATTGTGGAGCCCAGGTTAGGATAAGCAAAGAGCATCTGTCCAGGCTGGGGATCCAAGAGACAAGCTCTGGATCCAGTGTCAGGGGACCTGCTTTATAGATGAGTCTTAGGCCTGTGAACAAGTCACCACCTCATCTGTAAAAGGAAAGGGATTGGACTGGTCATCTCCAATGTCCCTGAGCCAGCTATACCAAAGGCAGTGGAGGGAGAAATCAGATGCCTGGCCAGGTTTGGGTTGATTCTCAAGCCTCTTCTTGCTCTGTTATTCTAAGCACATTTGAGTTTGTGGTCTTATAAAGTGTGCAAAGTCCTCTCCTGCTCAGGACCCCCTCACTGGCCATACATCGTTGAGCTAACTCTGCCTTCTCTATACCTCTTGGGCACTCAATGCCTGCTTGCTGGCACCTTCTGCAAGCTGCTGGGCCTGGACTGCCTGTGCCCGCTGCTGCCGGGCTTGGCGGCGGAGCTCCTCCATCCGTGTCCAGAAGTCACCCAGCTGCTTGGTCATGCTTGTCACCAGCTTTTCTGCTGGCTGCAGTACCTGCTGAACCTTTGTGGAAAGAGGGAGATCTGGCATTTGTGGTGGGTCTCATAGGTGGGGGGTTCATCCCCATTTTTTCTCCAACTCATCAGGCAGCAAAAACCCTCTCCAATCAGAACAATCAAAATTGCCCACCTCTCACTCCTGCCTTCTGCATCCCAGCCACAAGATCATAAAATCCAAGGCCCAAAGCCAGCCCAAAACTTGTCACCCTCCTGTAGAACTCCACCTCAGCTTTCATCTAGTCACTTTTCATCTAGTCACTTTCTGGCATTTTCTATGCCTGGTGCCCAAATTTTCCTGTTTATGCCCAGATATGGGTGGAGGAAGCCATGATGCCTCACCTCAGCAACCCTGTCCTGGATAAGCCTAAGGGAGCGGCTGGTGCCTTGCATGGTGTCCTGAGCTTCCTGCAGTGCCACTGTGCCCTGCCGCAGGTTCCCAACCACATCCTCCACCTGGCCCTCCACTGCATGGGCTCGGCTCCTGGGTGAGAGAAGCATGAGGGGGAGGAGAGAGAGAATGAGTGAATAGTGAATCAATGTGTGGTTCGACTCACACACCAGTCCAAAAGAACACCCTTCCCAGCCAAGACAAAAAGCAAGGAAAGTATTAGCTTTGACGTCCCAGGACCCCACCAAGCAGACATGATGAATGTTTGTGTTATGCCTGAGACACTCTCTTGGCAGTTTCCAACACGGAAGACACAGTCACGCAAATTGTTTAACCTGCACTCTGGACTCTGTGTACCACTCCCCACCATCGTAAGCATCCCCTCCTGTCTCCCAGCCCTCTGCACCCCTCTCCCAGCCATGGGGTTGAGAAGCAAAACTTCTCTCTTCTGGGCAGAGAGAAGTTCAGGGCCCAAGGCCGTACCTGGCTTCCTCAGCCTCAGCCTGCAGCCTGCGGGCCCGCGCAATGTCCTGTTTGGTCTGGGACAGCACCAGGTCCACGTTGGGGAGCCTGGCTGCAATGGCCTGGATCTCATTCATCTTCTGCAGAACAGTAGCTGAGTCTGTGGGCAGCCACAGGGCCAGCACAGCCTCGCTGACCTCCTGGATAGTGGCTGCATCAGTGTCGGGGTCTGGAAGACAACCATGCATTAGACTGTGGGAGCCCACTAACCTCCCCAGAGATCCGAGGCCTCTCCTGGCTAAGCAGCACCTGTGGAAGGCACCCATGGTGGCCCCTCTATCATGGTGTCCCAAGGAGCTGCTGCCCCCTCTCAGCCTGTTCTCTGGAAATTTCTGGGAATGCTGTAGGAGGATGACTATCCTGTGCTCCATGCTGCAGCAGGGAAGAGGAGTGGGGGAGTGTCATCACAGCTGTGGCAACTAAGCGTCTGGTGTCACAGGAAGCTGCGGGCTAGGGAGAAGGAGGTGGTGCCAGACAGCTGGTACTGAACAATGCCTGCAGCACATGCACAATCAGCCCTAAATTGGGAAGAGTGACCAGAAACTGGAGCTGCTTCCTTGACAAAAAGACCCCCTCCCTGCACTCCCCCTCAGGCAAGACTGCTCATTTTTGCAAAGGCAAATAAGAATGATCAAGTCTTTGCTGGAATATCACCTTCTCAGGGAGGCCAACCCCAGCCATCCAATCTAGAATTGCAACCTCCACCCTAGACTGTAGCACACTTTATCGTCCCTCCCCGCCTCATCTTTCTGTCTAGCACTTGCACCACCCCGGTACCAAAAACTGTACTCATCTAACTGGTTTTTTTTTTTTTTTTTTTTTTTTTTTTTTTTGTCTCTTTTCCTCTAGAATGTAAGCTCTACAAGGGCAGGGGCTGGGTTTTGTCCACAGCTATATCCCTAGACCCCAGCATAGTGCCTGGCACTTGGAGGTCCTCATGTGTGTAGAGTGAATGAATGATTGACAGGGCTTCAGGTTCAGATCACTGCTTTACTATTCAAGCCACCTGGGCAAGTCAAGTGGTTCCCTAAGCTCAGTTTCCTGATCTGTGAAAAAGGAATATCAATCCCCAATATCAATCCTCAACCTGAAGGTACAACATGAAACAACCCATTTGCAAGAGTTGTTACAAACCAACTCTGGGTCAGAGAGTAAGGTCAGAAGTACAGAGATGACATCTCCTCCCCATCTATTCCAATTTGCTTTTACAGATTTCGCTGGTATTGAGGTATTAAGGAGGGGGGCACCCACTCACCCAGATGATTTGTCCTGGGACCTGAACTCCTCCGGGGTCCCAGGCCCAGCCTCACTCTACACCTAGAGGGTACTAGGTGACCACACAGGTCTCATTCCCTGCCCCATCCCATGCCAGGCAGAAGGACACTCCTGGAGGGTGGAAGCCATGCTTGTTCATTGCTGTGTCCCTTGGGGTTTGCATGCAGCATAACTGTGGTTGAGTTTCATTAAGTGGGTTTATCCCAGCAGCAAGCTTTCATAAGGACCTTCCTCATAGAGATTGTCGACCTCTCATCTAACCCAGAGTCCCACTCTCAAAGCAAGGCTTCACATGCAACTTCCCCAGAAAGCCTTCCAGGATGAGCACATCCCCACCTAGATCTGGCCCTTTCTTTACTCTGCACCACTTCAGCTGCACCCTTAGGCTCAATCTACATGACATTCAGTCACAGAGCCTTCTGGGTCTCAGGATGGGCTCAGTAAATATTTACTGCATTGAGCAAAAGCATGGGAGGAGTTGAGACTGCAAATCAAATTAAACTCAATACCTGCCTTTATGGAGCTGGAAATCTAATGGGAGACAGGCACATGAACAAAGAAGTACAGCTTTGAGTGAGTGGTGTAAACACAGGTGCTACAGTGGCCATGGGAGGGGCCCCCAGAGCCACCTGATAGGTCAAGGGAGGCTGCTGGGAGAGTGGGATGCCTAGGAGGATTCCTAGAGGATGAACAGGAACTAGCCAGGTCAGCAGAGGTGGGAGAGGGGAGACAATCCAGAGAGAGGAAAAACATTTGCAAAGGCAAGTGGCAAGAAAGTGTGTATTTGTGTGTGCATGCACACTCACAGGTGTGTATGTATGTGTGTGTCCATGCCATAACACAATAGGGTGTGGATGACAGAATCAGACCATTAGGGTTGAAGCCTACCTGCACCACTGCTGAGCTGGATGCCTTTAGCCAAGTTGCTTAACCTCTCTGTGCCCAGATTACTTGTGTGCAAAGTGGAAGTAATAAGAGTACTTAGTTCATGTAGTCAGGAGTAAATGATGTAATACATGCAAAGCACTTGGAACAGTGCCTGGACTCAGAACTTAATAAGCCTTAACTATTCATTTTGTCAATTCCATTTGAAGAACTGGGAAAGGCGATGTTTCCTCCTCCCTCCACAGACTTTCCACTCTCCCTCCCACACCGTGACCCTACATCTGACAGCAGCCAGCGCTCAGAGGCTTCTGCACCAGGACTCTGGAGACCAGAGTCCGAGCCTACAGCTACACAAAATTTTCCTGGGTTTCTCCCTGGAGCCAGGCCTCTCTCAGGCCCTGCTTTTTCTCTCTGACCCTGGACTCATCATAAGACTTGACCTGAGATACAAGCATAAGAAAGATGACAAAAGGGGCCTGGCAGCTCCCTGTCTGTTGACGTGAGCCTGTTCACGGTACTCACCCAGCAGGAGAGAATTCCAACCCACCTCCCAACCCCTGAGGTCAGAGCCCTGGCTGAGATTAATGCAGGATGAGTAGCCATTCAGCGTCACTGGACTTGACTCAGGGTCAAGACTCCCTTATCCATGAGCCTAAGCCCCACACCTTGACCTCCCCCATCATCCACATTTGTGGGGCACAATCTCCCTAGATTCCCAGGTATCATTTTCCCCAGGTGTGGGCCTCATGGCCTTATGCAAGTCATGAGACCTCAGAAGAAGTCTCCTGCTCCTCTCTGACCTGCCATCTGCACTCAGGAGGGGACTTTGGCCTATCTGGGGCAAAAACACGGTAATAGCAGCAAGAAGAGCCACTGTCATTACACCAAGCCCTAGGCTCGTATTTACTGGGCTCCCAGCCAAGCAAATTCCCTGGCAGGAACCAGAAATCTAACAATATCAACTCCTGTTCCTGAGGCACCTTTCCTTTTTCAAAACACGTTTTACATCAGTTATTTGATCCTCAGAATAAACTTGTGAAATACTACCGTCTCCCCATTTATAGAAGCAAAAGATGAGGCAAAGAGAGAAGCAGCCTGCCCAATGTCACACGAGTCTCCAGGGTCCTGTTTAGGAATCTTTCCATTGTACAGCCCTTCCTCACTCCCCAGGGCAGTTCATTTACTCATGCCACCTATGTCAGATGCCTTTCTGTGTCTGGCCTTATGTTAGGTGCTGGTGACACAGTGGTCAAAAAGACAGACAACCATCCTTACCCTCCTGGAGTCCCCATTCTAGTGGAGTGACAATCCACTTGTCGACAACTGAATGACGGTGAGTAGTGCGAGGAAGGTAAGACACCGAAGGGGAATGGGAGATGACAGGGGACAACCAGATCAGATGGTCAGGAAACACCTCTCTGGGGAGACGACCCAGAGGACAAGAAACAGCCCTGGAAAGAGGATTCCAGGCACAAAAAGAGCAAATAAACATTCCTGAAGCAGGCAAGAGCCTGATATGTTCAAGGACTGCCAGTGAACAAAGCAGAGAAGAGCCCAAGGTCACTCCCAAGAGATGGACAGAGGCCAGGCTCTGTAGCCACGATAGGAGTTGAGAGCTCATTCCAAGAACAAGGTGAAGCCACTGAAGGATTTTAAGCAGGAGTGAGATGTGATCTGACTTATACATTTTAAAAGAGATATTTCAGTTATTGTGTTGAGAATGAGAATGGGTCACGAGGGAGTGGAGTGGGTGGGAAGGGCAGATGGGAGAATGACAAGGTCACGGCCATGGGAAGGAGAGGTGGAGGCCTGGAGCAGGATGTTGCAGGCCTGGGAGGAGTGGGGGAGGGCTGGCTGATGCACTGAACATGGGAATGAGGGACAGGCAGGACTGGAACAGCAGCCAAGGTGGGAGTGGAGACCAGGCTCACCTGTTAGGAAATCCCGGACCTGCTGGATGAGGAGCCGTGTGCGTCTGACATCTTCCTCCATCTGGGAGCGGCTGGTGCTCACCTGGGTCTCCAGGCGCTGGGCATTGGATTGAATCTGGGAGGCTGATTCCTCGGCTGCCCTAATCTGTTGACACACACTCTAGGTCAGAAGGGATAAGGCCCCAAGGGAAATCTCTCAGCAGTCCCAGAACTCTGTGGATCATCCTCTTTGCCAAGACCTACCTAGGAAGCATTTGTAACCAGTACAGTTTCTATGTGGATGTCCAGTAAAAGAGAAAAAAAACTATCTTGCACTTGCTGTGGCACCTTAAGCAGGTCACTAAAATCTCTGGGCTTTAGTGTAAAATGGGAACTCTGACTTGCCCAAGGGATCTATTCTGTTTGCCTCCTACTACCTGTGCCCATCCCACCTTGGCCACACTTACCATCTGCCTGGTCTGCTGGAGCTGGGCATTGAAGCCCCGCAGCTGCTCAGCCACCTGCCCTGCCGTCCAGAAGGCCCCACCAGCCCTGGGAAGGACACCCCTGCAGTGGGAGCCACAGGCTGTGCCATTGTCATGGGGACACAGCTCACCAGGGCATGATCCTGGGGTGCAAGCCATCTGCCTGGAGCTGCCACAGAGCTGTAGAGAGATGGGGCTGTCAAAGAGGCTACCCAAAGCCCCTCAATAACCAATCCCACCTCACACCTGGGAAACCAACAGCCAGACATCTCCATGACAACCAAGCACCAGAAACTGGTTTCCTTGGCAACTACTGAGCTCACAGTGAGCGGCACAACGGTCGGGATGGCTGGGGGAGTGGGGTTCTCACAGCGGCAGGTCTGCCCTAATGGGAAACAGGTGGCAACAGTTGGCGTGTGACAAGCTGGGGTGTGGGCTCCAGGAAGTGGGACTCCATGCCCCAAGTCACCTTGTTGAAGGTGGGTGTCAGGTCAGGCAACGAAGACATCTCCAGCCTCAAGGCCACAAGCTGGGGGCTGCCGGTGCCTCCTCCTCCTCCCGCCTGCTGCGCCAGCCTCTCTGCCTCTCTCCGGCTGTCCCTGAGCTGGTCCAAAAGGTGTGAGCTGTCGGAGACCTGCTGAGCAGCCTGGGCTGACTGCTCGTAGGCTGTGGTTAGCATCCGGAAGGCTCCTGTGGCAAGAAGCATGGGGAATGGAGATGGAGGAGGAGCAGGAGGGAGGGGGGCGGCATGCCCACCACAGCACTGCCCATGCCCGGGGTTATCTGGGTGGCCCTCTCCTCACCTGAAGGATCAGCACTGCTTAGTTTTTCAAACTGCTCCCTCTTCCTCTGATACATAGTGAGGAGACCATTGAAGCTTCTGTCCAGACTCTCCAGGTCTCTCGGAAGGGACAACGTCTCTTCCTCTAGGGGCAGATCCGGCTGCAGGCCCTGGAGAGTTCGCCTGAGAAGGGAGAGGAGCTTACACTAAAATAGAGGAGGGAGTTGTGCCTCCCCAGAGCAGCCATTCCCTTAGAGCAACTGCTACTGAGTCAGAACAAACAGAGGCCTTGGGCAAAGGCACCAGAACAGAGAATCCACAGGCTAAGGGGGTTCCGCTGGACAGAGGCTGGGCGGCCAGTACAACATTTCTCTGTCCATGCATGGGCAGAGCCACAAAACTCTCTTCCCTTGACTTCCATGACCCAACATTCCCAATTCTCCTCCCCCTCTTCCAGCTCCTGGCTTCCATGAGGAGCACTGCCCTGATGCCCTCCTCCTTCGCTCTCTACAGGCTGGCTTCAGCCACTACCTGTACAGCTGCAGCTCTGAAATCTCTTCCACAGTCCACACATCCCACTCAGTTCCAGACCCCACCACTGCTGCCAGCTGGTCATCCCCTCTGAAGGAGGCTCGGGGTCCACCTCCCAGGCCCTTGGCCACTGAGCCCTTGGAGAGTCCTCTCTCCCTGTGCCCTTTGCAGCTCCGCCAACCCAACTACCAGCTCCCTCCTCCAAGCCTCACATTCTCCACCTCTAGGCTTTGATCAGGCACAGAACGCCCTTCCATGGAATGCCCCTCCATGCCTGTGTTTCCAACCTACTGAACCTGGTGGACTGACTGCCCAAATCTGAGACTTAGTTCAGAAGGCACCTCTGTGAAGCCTGCCATGATACGTTATAACATGTGTCACGTTATAGTTTACCATTTACACATCATTCTCCCCAGTGCAAGCTTCTCGAGGGCAAAGACTATGTCATATTAATTTCAATATCCCCGATGCCTTGTGCAATGCTTGGTTCATAATAGATGCTCTAAAATTATGTAAAGAGAAAGAAAGAGAGAAAGAGAGGAAGGAAGGAAGGAAGGAAGGAAG